GTATCTTAAGATGGAGAAAAAGCCCAACAAGAAAGAGGAACTCAATATAGTGAACAATGTTTTGAAACTAGCAACAAAACTGATGAAGGTAAGCAAACTTTAGCTCCTTTTTTTAGATAAGAAGTTGTCTTATTTATTATAGTGAGTGGCTTTGTCTGAATTATTGTAGTTATTTTCCTTCAGAATACAGTATTCCAACAACATAAAACATCTCACTCATAATTGTTGGTGGTGGGTCCCAGTCCAAAAGTGGGTCGGGGGTCCATTCTAAATGGACTGCAAGTGACTTACCAACGTGTCAAGTTTGTAAAAAACATGATTTATTTTGAAGTACTGGGAATTTCCAACACAGAACTTTTAATTTGAAGTGCTATTTCTTGCTGTAGCATGAGTGACTAACAGACAGCTACTTGACAAAGACAGCAAACTAGCTCAAGGACATGGCCAAATACAAGTATGACACTGAATGTATTAAACTGTGTGAACCTTGAACTAATGACTGAGGAGAAATCTGGACCCTGTGATTGGACCAGTTTGGACCCACTGTGCTTGACTCCATACTATAGCTGCACACAGTTCATCCCAAATTAAAAATACATATTTTTCCTCTTACTTGTGTTATTTATCAGTCTAGATTGTTTTGGTATGAGTTGCTGAGTGTTGGAGATATTGGCTGCAGAGACATCCACTAGAACTACACCCGCCAAACGTATCACCACACAGAAGGAAGCGTGCATCTACTCATGGACAACAGGCTCCTGCTCGAGACAGCGTTAAGGCCTTTGCACATTGAGTCCGTGCTTTCTCATCCGAAATTGTCACACGTCTAATAATAAATACGACTTCACATTTTGTCAATTATGTTCGCATACTAAGTCGTAAATTTTCGTCCATCATTAAAATTTTCAGAACAGGTTCAATCTTCTGCATTTTTGACATCCATCAGAGCCTTTAGAGACGTTGGACCAAGAATCAGTGAAGAAAATGTGGTTTTGGACACAGCAACAAGACAACGAGACAGAAGAACGGTGCGCACAGAATAATTTCATAACTCTGATAGCTCACTTTCAGCGGGTCAGATAGTAATATTCAGGTGGATGATGACGAAGAGGAGGAGGAAGTGGACCGCACACAGAATGTGGAGGACAGCTCTGCCCCTTCACGCAGCTGCAGTGCCACATGAAAGACAGGGAGGGAGTGATGACAGCCAGATAGGTAACTTCAAAAGAGCATATGTGTCTTTTCATTTTGTCACGTATTGTGAATTTTCACAACGAATCGAACAATAAAATACATCAGAATCAATATACAAGGTTTCTGTGCTTAAAGATTTTTTCAGATGATGGGTTAAAAATCTGAAAGAAACAGACTCAGAATTCAAAGGTCTTTAGATGTAAACATCCTCCTTGGCTGAGCTGTAACGTTAGCTAGCTCAGTGGTGCTATGTGAGCTAGCAATATATGCACGCTTGGTTCTGCTCCGTGATACGGTTGGTGGGTGTAGCTCAGTAGAAAGAAAATAGTTCCTACGTGAAACTGCTAGAGAGAAGGCTGACATCTCTACGGCTGATATCTCCAATACTCTGCAACTCACACCAAAACAATCTGGAGTGATAATTTTTTTTTCTTAAATGATTCTAATATTTAACAACCTAATCACCTTCTGTACTTAAGTTATGACTGATATTTCAAATAACATCCATTCTAACACCTGTCTTTGACCCATATTGTCAAGTCGAAATGACACTGTGTTCCCTCTCCCCTTCCCCAGGAGCTGGATACTCCATTCAGACTGCTGGGTCTGACCGTGAACCCTCTGATCTACAACATCACCAGAGTGGTCATCCTGTCCGCTGTGTCTGCTGTGGTCAGCGACCTGCTCGGCTTCAACATTAGAGTGAGAGACTTTCTGCTGAATGTGAAAAGAGACACAACAAAACAGATTAAAGGGAGCTCAACTCAGTTTCACACATCAAGTTCAGTTGACCGTCACATGAAGCACAATTCAGCCTGTGAGAGCAGGTTGTAAAATATCTTCTCTGGCTCCAGAGGGAGCTCTCTGGAGTTTGGCTTGGAGACTACAAACATGGGTAGTTACCAGTCAGTTGCATCATGGGAAATTTAGGATCCAGTGATTTTGGTGCTTGTCTAGGGACTTAAACTCACATCATCTTGAGTTCAGCTGCTTCGGCTTGGACAGATTTTAAAATATCCCCATCTTGTGAATACCTGAACTTTATGGAATTGCTATAATACAATGCTGGAGCGGCCTTTAAATGCAAATTATGGAACTTTCCATTTATAGTTTCATATTACACTGTGTGTTGGCCTACAGGGGTATCTTAGTAATATCTCAGAAACCTTCTTGCGTTGGTCATGGCCATCTGGCATGTAAATATCAAGCTACTGTAAGTAAGCATACTGAGGCTTAAAAAATTCAAGAAGAAGAAGAAGAAGAAGAAGAAGAAGAAGAAGAAGAAGAAGAAGAAGAAGAAGAAGAAGAAGAAGAAGAAGAAGAAGAAGAAGAAGAAGAAGAAGAAGAAGAAGAAGAAGAAGAAGAAGAAGAAGAAGAAGAAGAAGAAGAAGAAGAAGAAGAAGAAGAAGGCGGCGGCGGCGGCGGCGGCCTTGGAATTTAAATGCTTTCTTACAGAGTAAGACCCTGATCACACAGGAGTCATTTTAGCAGGTGGAGGCGCCTTTTTGTAACTGTTTTTAACGAGAAAAAAGCTTTTTGCTGCTTTTGTTTCTGAGCTCTCTGCGCCTGGCTTTTTTGCGTGAGTGCTCTGAGCCCCTCAGGTAGAAGAAACTTCAACTCAGAGCGGAAAAGCACCCAACATCATCTCTTTTTCATCATGGTCATGACGGCAAGTTTACAGTTGACCAACAATGGAGGAGAAACTGGTGGTAGCAGTTGCTGGATACCCAGAGCTATACAGCCCGATGATAGACAGTAGACATGCGCTCCACACTTTTGATGAGGGTCGCTCGAAAGAAATGACTTATTTTAAGGTGTTGCTTGACATGTTCCTGTCATGTAGTGCACCTGGAGGACTTTGAATGTTGCGGACATCATATTTTGTCGCCATGGAAATAGAAGTCTTCAATCCACATCAATTCCGACCTGCAGTCAGCATCTCTCACCAGAGTAGCTAGCATCTGTTAGCAGCAGCTGTCAGGGAGCTGAGAGGACAGCGGCCGGTCAAACTTTCTTCACCAGGCTGACTGACAGCAGACATTTACTGAACCAAAATAGTTTTCATATCAGCTTCACAGGAAGAAGTCAATAGTGTTTCTGTTATTGATTCACTGATATTATGTCCTAGCCCATCATAGTGAGTGATGGGAATCTGCCGCACACAGACTGACTGGGAGCACATCAGTCAATGAGGATACAGCTCAGTTAAAAACACATGTACAGAAGGAAATTTGTGCGATTTAAACAAATGTCTGTGCAGATGACGCTTCACTAAATGTGACTGGAAAAGCCTCACAGTGTTAAAAAAAAAAACAAACCATGGAGATGACTTAAAACCTTTCACTGAAGCATAACTTGAGAGTGGTGCACAGCTGTTTGTTTTCTGTCGAGTGACACTTATCAAAAGTGTTGAGCACTCAACCATAAATCAGCAACTTCTACTGTGTACCTCACATGTGTCTGTGCCAGATGTAGCTCGGGCCAGCAGGCAGTTAGCCTAGCTTAGCATAAAGACTGGAAGCAGGGGGAAACATCTAGCCTGGCTGCCTCCTCTAGTGTCACCTCTAATGTTCGCTTATCAACCACAGCTTATAGTTTTTAATTTATGTTTGTGTACGGATTACACCAAAGACATGCATCAGGTTGATCAATGATCTTAAGGTGTTATTTTGAACTTTGAACAGCTGTTATGCTCAGATAAGATGACCCAATTGCCTCCTGGCTCTGGCTCCATGTTTATTGCACAGACATGAGACTTGTATTGATCAAAACTCTTCATGAAGTGTACTTCACAAAATGTTTAACTGTACCTGTAACGAGGGATGCACCACTGTAGATGATGCTGCATTCTGACCTGATTATGTGTCTGTGTTTTTCTCTAATCAAAGCTCCATCTCTTCTGCTTCATTTCCAGCTGTGGAAAATCAAGCCTTAATGTGAAAACAGCAAACCACTAACAGTCGGACACTGGAGACCAGAGGCTCCCCTCGTCTGCTGCACACAGCGTCTCATCTACAAAAACAAAAAGTGCAAACCTACTGACTGTGTATTCATTGTCTGTGCCTTCCAGCTGAAACTTCTGTCTTAAAAGAGTTTCATCAGGCATCCACAAGCCTGAGACGCTCTGACAATCGCTCACACACACACACACATCATTACTGGCGGCTCAGCTGGCGTCCATGCGCCATGTCACTAACCCAGTGCCTAACCTCTGACCCTTGAATGTCCCTCAGTGTGTGGTTAGATATAGCAGTGCGTTTGAGGTCTGTGATCATGTCAGGCTTCTGTGGCATCCAGATTTTCCAAGTGTGACCTGTGCAGATGTGTGGACACAATGTGAAGTGTAAACGCAGACCATAATTTAGATAGTTTTAGTCTTACTCCCTGATGTGTCTCATCAGTGTAACTAACTGTAAAACAAGCTGCGTGCTATCTAAAGCCGGTGAATCAAAAATGGGCTGCGAGCTTCATGAGATGAATTTTCACGGGACTGAACTTTGATTTCAACCTTTTGTACTATTTAAAGAGGAAACATTGTGATTGTAAGTGGGCTTTATTTATTTGGGGATTCTGTTTTAGCACAAACTTGTGATGGTACCTGTAAAGTCATGATGAGTCTCTGACCACTGTCTGTCTCTTGTGTCGAGGACCATTATTGAATGAAATAACTATGCAACGTTTGTATAGTTATGCTTAAAGACAATGTTTGATAAAGGTGAATAAATGTTTTTCATGCACGGATCAGGTTCCTCTGCAGAGCCCTCTCTGTATCCTTTCTCGGCACTTTTAAATTAGGGATAGTGTTGCAGTGCGTTGACGTATGATCTATTATCAACGTTACGGTAGGAACAAAAAATATGACGTAGAGGCACACCTCCAGCTTGGAAGGACACCAGCCGGCCGAGGAGGCACCTCAGCAGCCAAGGACAGGCCGAGCACACTGGCTCCTCCGGCCGCAGCTGCGGGCTCACACTCGGTCCGGCGGATCCCTGAGCCGACTGTTTTTACCGGCGTCTGCTGCGGCTCTCTGCCCGGGAGGACTCATTTTCATACCAATAAGGTAATAAATTAATAACAAGGATATGATGCTGTCAGACAGGCGTCCTGTGTGGATTATGTCCGAGGTGGATTATCTCATAGCTGCATTTTCATGTTAGATTTCATGCTGCATGAACTCAGTTACCCCGGTCAGAGAGAAAACCGTTGCCTGCTCATGTGTGGCTTTGTAAATACAGAGCTGTAACCAAGCTGGGAGGTGATGTGGCGGCGCATTCTCATCCGCTGCGCCTCTGGTTCATGTTAGCAGGGAAACACAGACATACCATAACAAATATATGTCAGAGAAGCCAGAGCTGTGTGTGCAGGATTATGTTTTAGCAGGGATGCATGCAAGTGAGGACAGTAACCAGAGGTGGAAGAGGTCCTCAGATCCTTTACTCAAGTCTAAGTAGAAATACCACAGGCTAAAAATACTCCATTACAAGTAGAGGTCCTGAATTTAAAAGGTTATGTAAGGGAAAGTAGCTTACAGAAGTGTTATGAGCAAAATGTTCTTGACGTATCAAAAGTAAAAAATACTCCTAATACAGGATGGCTCCTTTTAAAATACTATGTTATCAGTGATGGAATGTAACTGAGTACATTTACTCCAGTACAGATTCAGATTTCTTTAATGTCATTGTACAATAAATGACAATAAAGTAGATGACAAAATCACCTAAGAAAAAAACACACAAAGAAATTCAGGTGCACTCAAGGAAAGGGCTCATATAGAACAATAATTAATAAATAGTTACTCATATTCTACACAATCGTAGATACACTCATTGCCAACACGTGCAGTTAAAATGGGACAATAAGAAAAAAGTGCCCATGCATATGGATCATTTTGTCACACTTACACTAAGATCTGGATCGACACACCACACTACATCAGAGCAATAACCTCTGTTACACATTTCAAACACACATACGGACACCATCTGATGAAAGGACACTCCTGCAACCCCTGATTTAAATCCTACAGTCAGGCCAGTTTTAACTGTAGCACACAGTGTTACTTTTAATTCCTTCCCTGTATAAATCAATAAAATGAAATGCATATTATTGCACATAAAACAAGCTATTGCACTCCAGAAAAAGAGCTGTTCTGTGTCTTAGTGGGTTCACGTCAGTTCATAGTAAAGTGGTTATGGGTTTAGGGTAGAGACTGTTAATGTGTACTGTTTTGTGGTGCGTGTTTTGGAGGGCAACAGTTCAAAGAGGTGATGAGCAGGATGGAATGAGTCTTTTAGGATGTTATGTGTTTTCTGCAAGAGGTGAAGGTGATGGTGTATGATGTTTTAGTTTTTAGGATTCTCTGCTGAGACTTTTAATCTGCAGCAGAGCAGCTACCGTACTGTACTTGAGGACAGTTTGAGGTATTTGTACCTAACTTGAGTGTTGCCATTTTCAGTTTTGCGACTCGACTACATGTCAGAGGGAAACATTGTTCTTTTTTCACCACTATACTTGTCTGACAGCTTTAGTTGCTTTTCAGATTTATTTTATTGATACAAAATACAAATCAATTTATAAATTAGGAGATATTATTATACCATAAAATTTAAGTTAATAGCCCAGGCTGTTTTTTGCTTAAATCTCTGAAATCAACAGGCCTATATTTGGGACAGACCTTTAATTCCTTTTACAAAAAAACTTTTAATCAGTAAAGATCAAGAAATACAATCAAATTATTTATTTACCAGCATGAATATTACTTGTTTACAAATTAGGCTTCAGATAGTATATAAATTATAATTAATTTAATTTTATTTACGGCACTCGAGGATTACAGCACCAACACAACACCACTTTATCCTGTTAAAACAATCCTCATAACTTGGATAAATTTTCATCAAAAACACTTTTGATTCTTTTGATCTGAGGACCCCTACAGACTTAAGGAATATGAATAACTTACAGAGTAGTCAAGGAATGGACACATAATTTGAGGTAGCAAACAACCCGTTTTTAACATCTGAAGATCTTCTATAAAAAGAAACGATTTGCTTCGCAACCAGACCAGGCGTCTAATTGAGACACGTGTTTATTTGTTAAAATGTGAAGCCACACCGGGCTAGTGAAATGGACTGGGTGTTTAATTGAAGTTTTACAGTGTGTGGAATTACCAGGCAGGAAATAGTCATGAAAATAAGCCCCATCTTTACCAGCTGTAACATTAAAGTCATAAACACATTAATGCATCAATAATTATAATCCAATAATATGAAATATGATCATTTGAAATGGGACATTCTGCATAAGGAGTACTTTTACTTTTGGTACTTTGAATATATGTAGTAGTATAAGTAATATAGGAGCCTGGGAGAGCCTTCGCCATTTTTTAACCAGATTATTCAGCCACTTTAATTTAAGTACAGCACCTATTCCCTAAATTAAATCTTGCAAACAAAACCAATCATTTATTCCAGGCTTTGTGAGGGCCCCTTTTCCCACTAGGTCCCTGGGTAATCAGTCCCATTTTTCCCACCACTATGCTGCCCCTGATGGTGATATGATGCTACTGTTAAAATAAAAAAAACCCTTTGAGTGGCAAAAAAAATGCATTTAATGTCAGCTTATACTCAAGTTGAGCAACATCAGCAGCAACACCCTTTATGTCCACAGAAGCAGTGAAGTTTATTTCTGTTGCCTCTTAAAGCCGCAGGCACACCCTGTCTTCTGTTCCACTGTCACAAAGTTCGTCATGGCTTTGTCGTCCTTTTGTTTGTGTCAATAATTGTTATGTAAAGTATTTTAAAAGAAGTAAAAGTACCCTTTTTTTTGAGATACTGAAAAAAGTAGAAGAACACAAAAATGTCTTTGTTATAAAGTAACGAGAGTACATGTAATTTGTTTCTTCCACCCCTGGTAAAAAAGAAACTAAAGGTCAAATGAATGTTGAGTAAAAAGTGCAGTATTTCCCTCTGAACTGTAGCATAAAATAAAAATATTCAAGTCAAGTATGTCAAAATTGTACTTAAGTACAGTTCTTGAGTACCACTGGAAGTAACTCTAAAACATGACATGTATCTGACTCCTGTGTTTCAGAGCAGCGTGGACGATGCCCGTCTGAGAACGAGAGCTGATCTCTGACTCAAACCGGACTCCACCATGTCGAGCACTCACTTAGACAACGGCTCTGCAAACTCAGCAGAAGCCAAGAAAACAGACCTGAGAACGTACGAGAAGAAATGCTGTAAGTAAAGTTTCCCACAATAATTAAATGTGAACGAGCTTTTCTGCATGACTGCTTCAAGAGTCTAAAGGTGCACTTCAGTGCAACATAACACCTTGTGCTGTTCACGCTGGGCTTAACTCACCAATAGTCTCTAAATCGCCTCTGTGAGACACTACAGCTCCTTCACTTAGACTCCAACCTACAAAAGACAGGCATTAAAAAGTGGTTCTGTGGTTCCCACTGTTCTTTGAGTAAATTGCTTTTCTCTCCCAGGTCATTTCTTTGTCTAATTTCCTCAGACCTTGTCTTTGATCCCAGCCCACTAACGATATTTGTGTCTGAAGAGACATTTATTTTTGTCCAGTACACAAATGGCCTAGTTATTAAATTATCTTTGTTCTCCAAGGATGGCAACAAACTGCACGTTTGATGCAGTGCTTTCAGTGGTCATGCTGAGATACAGCCCGACTTTCCAAGGCAATAAATTTACATTTATTTTAATCAAATCTCTGCCTGTTATGCAACGTTTTTATCTTTTCTCATGCAGGTGATTAACATTATAGGCAGACAGTATTTCCATAAAACCATGGCTGCTCAAAGTTTTGATGGCTGACTGCAAATTTAGGGGGCCAGCATATGAGTGAGGGGCTGCACAGAAAAACTGCAGTGGGGAGACATCCACTGATGATGAAAGCACTGATGATAGTCAAGGACTGAAACGTTTGCTGCTGTTTTTATTCACCTTTATTTTTTTTTGTGCCAGTATCTCCTCTGCCATCCTTTCTTGGTTGTCCATTATACCGACGCAGCCAAGAAACTTTTTTGTGCCCTAAGTAGGCGCAGTTTCACAGCAGCCTTAAGACTTTGAGTTGTCCACCAAAATCACTAATTTTACCTTAGAGCAGAAGCATTGATGACAGAACGTATTTCCTGCGACATTCATGAGGTGCCACTAGTTGCCATGTGGCTTTCTACAAGTTGTCTTCCCTAACTGGACAAGACGCTTGTTAGGGGACACAGTTTGATGCAGTCTGCTAGTAATGTATTTAATGTAAGCTACTGAAAGTGGAAGTATTGAAATGGAGAATGTTTCTGGGGGATGCGCTTTGAACAGGTATGCATAAAAGTGTGTATGGTTTCTAACAGTGTGCTTGATAGACATATGTGTGTCTCCTGTTCAGCGTGGGCCTCCTACATGACAAACTCTCCAACAATGATCGTAATGATCGGCCTGCCTGCAAGAGGGAAGACGTACATGTCAAAGAAACTCACACGTTACCTCAACTGGATCGGAGTCCCAACCAAAGGTAGCCTACCGCATGATATGTGACAACAATCTGTTTAAGTGTCTTTAATTTCATCCCAACTGTAATTTTCTTATAGAGTTTACACATGTGCATATTTTAAATTACACTTGATATGCCATCTTTTCTTGAACTCTTTTCTTTTCAAAGTGGGTGCCATGTTTAATTCAAAACTGCAGTCTATTGTGGTGTACACACTGCTATGCCATATTTAGCAAGTTTAATTCAATATTTTAAATTGGATTTTACATGAAGCACATTCAGACAACCTCATCAATATCTGGAGGAGAACTTGTTGGCTCTTTGGCAGACATGCTGGCTTAAAGGGACAGTTCACCCCAAAATCGAAATCACATATTTTTTTTTCTCTTATCTGTAGTGCTGTTTATCAGTCTAGATTGTTTCAGTGTGAGTCGTCGAGTGATGGAAATATCAGCCGTAGAAATGTCTGCCTTCTCTCAAATATAATGGAACTAGATGTCACTCATCTACACCAAAAATATATTTGAAAAACTCAACAGCAATTTGTCCCTCCAGAAATCATGACCTGGTTACTCATGATAATCCACAGACCTTGTTGTGAGCAGTGGTTCCCAAATGGTAGGTTGCAGTCCAAAAGTTGGTCACAGGTCCATTCTAAATGGACTGCAAGTGACTCACGAACGTGTCCGTTCTGTAAAGTGAATTTTTGGTACAGGGCTTCTATTTTGAAGTGCCTTATCCTGCTGTAGAGTGAGCGACTAACGGACAGCTACTTGACAGAGACAGAAAACTAGCTCAATGACATGGTGAAACGCAAGTATGATGCTGAAAATATTAAACTGCGTGGATCTTAAACTAATGACTACAGAGAAATTTGGACCCCGTGGCTGGACCAGTTAGGAACTACTGTCTTGTAGGAACTATTTTCATTCTACACCTGCCAACCATATCACCACACAGAAGAAAGCTTGCATCCACTGCTAGCTCAGCTAGCACCACTCAGCTAACTAATGTTACAGCTCAGCCAAGGAAGATGCCATTAATGTTTACATCTCACACTGTCACAAGCACGAACCTCTTGTCCATGAGTAGATGCACACTTCCTTCTGCACAGTGATACAGTTGGCAGGTGTAGTTTGGTAGAAAGAAAATAGTTCCTACATGAAACTGCTCACAACAAGGTCTGTGGATTATCTTGAGTAACCGGGTCATGATTTCTGGAAAGAGACATTGCTGTTGAGTTTTTCAAATGTATTGTTTAAAGCTTTGAGCACCACAAGCCGAGTGCCAACTAGTTCCATTAAATTGGGGAAAAGGCAGACATCTCTACAGCTGATATCTCCAACACTCTGCAACTCGCACTAAAACAATCTAGACTGATGTATAGCACTAAAGGTAAGAGGAGAAATATGTATTTTTGCATTGGGGATGAACTGTTCCTTTAACCTACCGATGGAAGAGGGTTGTGAAATCAGGACACTAACTTGATCATTAATTACTGAACGGTAAAGGTCTGAACATTCTCTGTATTGTTGTGAGCTGCGCTCCACTCCTTCACCCCACATGACACAACATGTTCAGTTAAATGTATGTACTGTATGTCAGAGCATCTCAGAATAGGAGACTAAATTTAACATCAGTTAGGTTGTAATAACTGTAGGTGCTTATAAAAAACGACCTCACCGGTGACTTCACTGAGGTGACACACTGAGGACAGTATGTTAATGTCCATTTGTTTATTTTGCAGTGTTCAACTTGGGCGTGTACCGCAGAGAGGCTGTCAGATCTTATAAGTCCTATGATTTCTTCCGCCACGACAATGAGGAGGCCATGAAAATAAGGAAGTAAGTTCCACTTTGACAGTAGCCCTCATAATGTGCTTTCATTCAGTCATTACAGAGGACATTCACTTATGTATCTATTAGTAAGGGAGGCTGTAGCATCTCCACCGTCTGTAACATTTCCTCCCAGTCAACACGGGTCTGTTTGGTATTCTGCAGCCTCCACTGCTGCATCAATGACTAAGCTGTTTCTGGGCCAGCAGTCGATATTCAGTCGGGGTCAGCGCTGTTTTTTTATATTACCTTAAACTGACATTAATCTGTAGTTAATGTGCAGACACAGACACACGTATCACCTCCAAATTCTAGTTATTCATTTGTATTTAGATCAGCTGTAAACCACTGCTGATTTCTCCAGAGATTTATAAAACAGAGATTATAACTGTCTGTCTCCTTCACGGTCTTATCCAGGCGTGGTAACTGAAATAGACTTTGTTGTTCATGGCTATCATGAAAATGCGACAGGCTCTTTGACAGCATCCCAGTGCTCAATCGTGACCTAGATATTAAGCAAGCTGCTGCTGTCAGTCTGAAGCTGACACAAGCCCACCAGAATCCAGGCTGTCGCTTCAGTATCTGAGTCAAACAGTAACTCTGAATAATGCTGTCGTTTTGCTATTGGAAGTATCAGCTGGGTGGGGATTAAAGGAGTAGTTCCACATTTTGTGAAATACAGCTTTTTGCTTTCTGTTTGAGAGTAAAATGAGAGCTGGTGACCAGATTAATGGGATTTTATCCCCAGAAAGCTGAACTTGTTTTTGCTTTATGCGTACCTGAGCAGCTTTCATAGGGAGGTACAAGGCCCCGCCTCCAATGCTGCATCCAGTTCTCTTTATGTATCCATGATCAGCAGCTCTAGAGCTCAGGCAGTCTACCTGTTTCGCAGTTTCAGTCTTTATGCTAAAATAAGCTAACTCACTTCTGTCTGTAGTTTCATATAGATCCTACAGAAAAGAGAGAGGTGTTAATTTTCTCACACCAAGAAAACAAAGAAGCACATTTCCCAAAGTGTCAAACTGTTTCTTTAACTCAACTGGAAAATTAAGTGTCATTCTGTTCAGTAAATCTCACCCATCTGCCCTCCAAGTGGACTAAACCAAGCCCCAAAAAATATTACTTGTCAGTGCAGTTGTTAGTATTGTCGCCTCATAGCACGAGGGTTCCTGGTTCGAACCCAGGGTGGGGGAGCCTTATGTACGGAGTCTGCATGTTCTCCCTATGTCAGTGTGGGTTTTCTCCAGGTGCTCCAGCTTCCTCCCACAGTCCAAAGACATACATGTTAATTGGTGACTCTAAATTGTCTGTAGGTGTGAATGTGAGTGTGAATGGTTGTCTGTCTCTATGTGTCAGCCCTGTGATAGTCTGGTGACCTGTCCAGGGTGTACCCCGCCCCTCGCCCAATGTCAGCTGGGATAGACTCCAGCCCCCCTGTGACCACCAACAGGATAAGCAGTTATGGAAAATGAATGAATGAGCCAGAAGAATAGTCCCACTGAAAACCATACACAGTAAGATTATCAAGCATATTGCCAAGACATTGTTTGTGGAAAACGACATTGCAGAACATGTTCAATTCTACACTCCTCATTTTTATTGAAGTTGCAGCAGAAATCTCATGGATGGATATCTCACAACCTCGGCACATAACATCTGAACTGTCTCTGTGGTTTGACACCACTAGAGGGAGACTGGAAAATGTTGTTTTTTGTAATTTGAGATAACTGATCTTTTAATAATTCCTGATTTGTGACATTTCCCATGTCAGTTACGAAACAACACATGTAATGTAAATTGAAATGAGTGTAGGTTTTAGTGAATGAGAGCCAGAGAGCAGGCTGAGACTCTCAGAGAGAACTGTTTCCATGTTGTCTCTGTCTCTCCCCCAGGCAGTGTGCTCTGGTAGCTCTGCAGGATGTGAAGGCGTACCTGTCAAAAGAAGGAGGTCAGATTGCGGTGAGTCCTTTCTATCTATCTATCTATCTATCTATCTATCTATGTATGACTCATTTGGAACAGAAACACATCTGGCATTACAACAGCCTTAATCCTAAACTGTCCTCCAAACATTTCACCACAGAACGCCCACATTATACATGAGAAATATTTTTCCTCCTGTCTGTTTCTTTATCAGGTCTTTGATGCAACAAACACAACAAGAGAGCGGCGAGACCTCATTCTAGCTTTTGTGAAGGAGAATGCATTCAAGGTAAGATTAGAAAATGTAACTGAATGTTTAAATTCTCCTTGGATATTTAAACACTGCACAGTTTACTTGAAGTGAGACTACATAACTTGTGCTGAACAGACGCCACTGTGGCCACAAGTGGTCTCAAGATAGTGGCATATTAAATACTTGTCCTTCATCTCCCAAGATTATTAAGAGTCAGCTGCTTTAAAGACATCATCACGTGTGTCTGTGACACCTTAACGTGTGGCACAACGGTAGCACGTGAAGAAAGGAGTAATAAAGTCAGCGAACATCCCAGCTAACATTTGTATGTGGGGCCCATGTGGGTGGTAAATGGGCTGAAAAATAGGCCCTATATTGGGTTGTCCATGTGTTCCATATTGGCCCCATGCCAATATACAACATGGGTGGGTTCGCCCAAGTGGGCCCAACATGGCTCATGCTGGGGCTACCTGAGTACAAAGTGGGTATGGGTCCAAAATGGGCATCTTATCTGGGGCCCACTTGGGTAAACCCACCCATGTGGGCAAATGTCATCAGGCCGGTACGGATCCTGTGGACAGCCCATTGTTCAGCCCACTTACTACCCACATGGGCCCCACATACAAATGTTGGCTGTGATACTCATTAATATCAGTTAAGCATTGATCGGTTTAGTTAATGCTCCTAAAGTCCAGATGAAATGACGTTTTGAGAGTATATAGCTTCAGTATCATGATGTATTTCCAGTTGAAACAGGATAGGCAGGTGGGATATATAGAAAGGCATATGTCTATGTGTGTAACGTTGATGTCAGGATAGGCTGTGGCTAAGATGTAGAGTGGGTCGTCCACCAATCGAAGGATCGGCGGTTCAATCCTCGGCTCCTCCAATCCAGATGTCGACGTCTCCTTGAGCAAGATACTGAATTGCTTCCCGTGGTTGTTCCATCGGTGTGTGAGAGCGTGTGAATGATTACTGAGTAGTGTATGGTAGCCTCAGCCATCAGTGTGTGAATGGGTGAATGTGACTTGTAGTGTAAAAGTGCTTTGAGTGGTCTGAAGACTAGAAAGGGGCTACAAGTGTAGTCTATTTACCATTTACCACAGTAGCATCTGTCAAGGAGAGAGAGACCAAGTCCATTGTTGTATGCTCCATGTCCTCTGCAAAATGTCGTGTGCATAGTCTGGAGCTGTCTTGCATGCTAACGTTAGCTAGCTAACCTAATCTTAGCTCTGTGCGGCTAAAAGTTGCTGATTAATTGATGGATGGATGTCATGATATTATTGGTTGAAACTGGTTGGTACTAGCTGACGTAAGCACACGTCATATTTAGATCTACAGGAGGAAAACATAATTGGATTTTGATATAAGAATTGATTTTGTTGTATTTTTTGGCGTAGAGTGCTGCAGGAATGAGTCCTAAAACCCAGAGAAACTCACTCCCAGTTAACTCGTCAGTGAATTTTTTTTTTAATGGGTTTTTGGTTAGATGCCTGAAATGAGGTCTGTGTTTAACACAAGCTTAAGAGACTTTCAGTTTTTATTCTGTGACATAAAATGCAGCAGTAAGTACCCCACTCGTTCATTTTGAAGCTTTTACATGTCTTAAAAAAGGCAGTTGCTAACATATGGCTAAGTGAGACTACAAAACATCATCACACCGAACCCGGCTTTACAACCTTGTTGTGGTGGCGACGTTAAGTCATGCGACCATGTTGTAGTTGATTTTATAGCCGTTTATAGGCTTCAATAAACATGAAAGTGGTGTTCGTTTGGGTGCCGCAGATCTTATTTTCCGCAATAATCCAAAATCCAATGGAAAAATCCCATAGGCTATTTGTCAAGGGAACCGGGGCAATGCTAACGTCCCCGTCAGCCTGCAGAAAAATGACTTTTTATATCGTTAAATAGGTGAACAGTGTCTAGTAGTGTGATCTAAAAGGGTTAAAAAGGCATTTTTTAAATCTCATATTGACTTTAAAGGTACCCTGTGGAGTTTTCAACCACTAGCAGAGCTATGGAGAAATGTTTTGAGGAGTTGGGTCCCATTTTGATTGTGTCTCCTCATCACGCAGGAGGCAGCTGTGTGCATGTCAGCTTTGCAAATACTTAATAATCAAAGACATACAATCAACAATAGGTATCAAGAATATACACAATTTAATTTGGTAAGAGACATAAATGTAAACATAACTTCAGAGGGTACCTTTAATCTCAGACGAGGAAACAGCTGATAGCATGTCGTGGTGTTGATTCGATGAAGAAGAGTCCCAAGTCACAAGAAGCTCTTGCACATGACGACCCTGTTTGCTGCGTCTTTCCAACAGGTGTTCTTTGTGGAGTCGGTGTGTGACGACCCAGAGGTCATTGCTGCTAATATTCTGGTATGATCTCATGTCACCAACGACACTTTCACGTGTGACCGTGACTTGTCGTCTGGGTCACACTCATAATCTATTAATATTCACACCGTCTATGGTGTTGCATAAGAACTGGTGTGCTTGCTCACATTGTTTAAATATACTGAATACCTGTAACAGGAAGTGAAAGTGTCCAGTCCAGACTACCCTGAGAGACACAGAGAAAGGGTAATGGATGACTTCCTCAAACGAATCGAGTGCTACAAGGTCACTTACCAGCCATTAGATCCTGACGATTACGACAAGTAAGAACCGAACAGATCCTTCTGTTTATGGAGAAACAGGACGTGATTTAATATTGTTTACATTAAAAACACATTGTGAGATTACTCATATAAAACTTACCTTTGGATGTTTTTTAACAAAGCAGTAAAAATGTTTCAACTTCTATACATAATCTTGTAGCATTACAGTTGCAGTACATAAATCAAACACTAGATGGTGACAGTAAACATCCATTTGACTCACCTGTATGATTCACTGGCTCCTGCAGGGACCTATCCTTCATCAAGGTGATAAACGTGGGCCGGCGTTTCCTGGTGAACCGGGTGCAGGACTACATCCAGAGTAAGATCGTCTACTACCTCATGAACATCCATGTTCACTCTCACTCCATCTACCTGTGTCGGCATGGAGAGAGCAACCACAACGTCGAAGGCTGCATCGGAGGAGACTCGGAACTTTCTCCTCGAGGGAAACAGGTTCTCTTTCATAATCCTCGTTTTATGAAGTGCAAAGCCAACGTCTTCTTAAAACCCAATTACAAGCCTCTCTCTGGGAGGTAGCTCAGTGGGATAAGGAAGGTGTACTTAACTACAATATTATGAACACCAGAGTTATGACCTTTATCACAGTTAATCCTCTGCATTTCACATTTTCTTCTCTCAATCCACTGAACATGAATCTAATGAAGCAGAAACACCTTTACAAATATTAAGGAATTAATGATGGATAGATGAACAGGCAGATTATTGGAAACCTCTCATGTCTCTCTCACATCCCAGTTCTCCCATGCCCTACGAGATTTCATCGAGGAGCACAATCTGTCAGATTTGAAGGTGTGGACGAGCCAGCTGAGAAGAACCATCCAGACAGCGGAGGAGCTGGGTGTCCCGTATGAACAGTGGAAGATACTCAATGAGATCGATGCTGTGAGTACCCTCATCACTAAACAATCATTACATACTGTTACTTACCATAGAGCTCTGGTTTAGATAGAGAAACTGTATTTTGGATGTTTATCTGAGACATTTCAGTGAGGGGAAGGGAGCTTCCTGACAGTAACACAGTACCAGTGATGGAGGAAGTATTCAGATCATTTAGGTACCAAAACCACACTGTAAAAGTGCTCTGTTACAAGGAAAAGTCCTGCACTGAAAATCGTACTTAATATAATATTCAGAATTATGTTTTCATTAGTGAATAATTACCTGAAACTGGGAATCATATTGTTTTTGTTAGCTTAGAATGAGCCGTTTATATCTTCATAAGGAGCAGGCCGGTTGCACAAAGCATATTAATTAAAATGCCAGTTGGTTTGGACCCTACAGGATCATCAGGATGGACATACTGACTGAGAGTGATTAAAGCTGGTACTTTATAAGTATAGGGTGTATCTGTGTGTCTCTTTCCACGTTTTTCTCCTCACTGACTTGGTCAATCCATGTGAAATTTGGCACAGTGGTAGAGGGTCATGGGAGGATGCGAATGAAGCAATATTACATCAATTGGCCAAAGGGGGCGCTATAGCAACCGATTAAAATTGCAAACTTTGAATGGGCATATCTCATGCCCCGTATGTCGTAGAGACATGAAACTTTGCACAGAGATGCCTCTCCTCATGAGGAACACATTTGCCTCAAGAACCCATAACTTCCGGTTATATAGATTTTCCACCATTCAGAATTTTTTGAAAAACACTTAAAATTGATCTCTTCCTAGGAAGTTTCACCGATCTGCATGAAACTGGGTGAACATAATCTAGGGACCAATATCTAAAGTTCCCTCTTGGCAAAAGTTGGAAAACTTACTAAAACTGAGCTTCTATAAGGCAATGAATATTGCGGAGGGCGTGGCTCATCACATAAAGGTGTATAACATCTCAAGGGTTTCACCCATCACCACGCAACTTTGTAGGCATATGACCACACATAATCTGAGGGGACCCCTCCATTATTGACCCAATCAAACAAAATGGGGGCGCTAGAGAGCTAATTTATTATCTAGGCCTAACCGCCATATCGATTTTTACTAAACTTGGTAGATATGTAGAACAGGACGCCTCAAGGTGACTGGAGACATTTAACTCTAATTGGCAACTGGGTGGCGCTATAACAACAGAAAAATGCTTAAAAATGGCTAAAATGCGACCGATCGCTGTGGCTCCCCCTGTGGACCAATGTTGTTGTTTTTTTCTAATTTTTGGTATGACTAAGTCATGGTATGGTATGCTGTACATAATCACGGAAACTGTCAGTCAGTCATTCTGTCTGTCCCACGTTTACTCACTGATGTGGTCAATCTATGTGAAACTGCACATAGGCGTTGAGGATTGGCATAGGTAGAAGGTGACAAAGCTACCAATGGGTATGGACTAGTAATAATAAACTTTATTTTATAGCACCTTTCATAACATGCAATGCAGCTCAAAGTGCTTTACAAGAGAAACAAACTAATAACACTGATGTTCAAACAGGAGACATGAGGAGCAAAAACAATAAAATAAAATTCTATAGGGATAAAAACAAAGGATAATACTAGTAATAAAAACAACGGTAACAACAATATTAAGTTATAAAGACCATAAAACAAGTAAAAGAAATATAAAAGAAATATCAAATAACTGATGTTAGAGAAAAGAGTAATTAAATAGAGTCGAGATCATAAAAATAGGTTTTGATCCATTTCTTAAAGCTATCCACAGAGATGACTTTTTGTAATGGGAGTTTGTTCCAAACCTTTGGTGCATAACAACAGAAAGCTGCCTCATCATCCATCCATTTATCCATTTTCATCCACTTATCTGTGCTGGGTCGCGGGGGCAGCAGGCTGAGCAAAGTACTCCAGACGACGCTCTCCAGCTCCTCCTGGGGGATCCTGAGGCAGCCCCAGGGCAGATGAGATATATAATCCCTCCAGCGTGTTTTGGGTCTGCCTCAGGGCCTCCTACCAGGGCTTCATAGTTTTTGTAATTCATAGACTAAAGATTATATAGACAATATACTGGAAATAAATATTATTGCACCACACGTGTAATCAATTTTGTAATCAGTCTTGTGTGTGGTGAAGGAGCTTCCATCCAACTTTTTTACTTGTGCTTTTGACATTGAAACAAACGCTCTGTCATTCTCGTCCAGGGTGTGTGTGAGGAGATGACTTATGATATGATCGAGACCACATTCCCAGAGGAGTTTGCTCTGAGGGACCAGGACAAGTACCACTACCGCTACCCAGGAGGAGAGGTGACCTGACGCACTCCTTCCATACTTTTGTCTCAATAACCTTTGTTCATCTTATTCAAACATCTGCAGGGTAATTAAAATAGTCTCTCCTCTTTCTCCTTCAGTCCTACCAAGACCTCGTCCAGCGTTTGGAGCCAGTTATCATGGAGCTGGAGCGGCAGGGCAACGTGTTGGTCATCTGCCATCAGGCTGTGATGCGCTGTCTGCTGGCTTACTTCCTGGACAAGGGTGCAGGTCACATAAACACAAGTGCACACACACATACAGTATATTACTACATCACACCAGCAGGTGATAACATTTTGTATACTCTCTTCTTCATCCCGTAGAAGATCTACCATACATGAAATGTCCACTCCACACAGTACTCAAGCTAACTCCTGTTGCATATGGTAGGTCTTCATCTTAGCTCTCAATATTACACCATAAAACTGATTTTTGCATGTTTTGTTTAAATGTATTCTGTCTTTTATCTTCTAGGTTGTAAAGTGGAAATGTTTTATCTTAATGTGGAGGCAGTAAACACTCATCGAGACCGGCCTCTTGTAAGTCGCTCTGAATTGAGATGGAAAATCACATTATTGTGTAGTGTGGTTGAATTAAAGTGTGACTTAGGTATTTTTCAATCTGGACCCTATATTCACATGTTTTTGTAGTTAAGTGACTAATAGGGACAACAGTTTTGACATTGGTCCAGTACTGAGTGAGCCAGCAGCAACAAAACAGGCTGCAGTGTAAACACTTGGGGCATTTGGCCACGTCCACCGAAACAGGCTCACATTAGTATTCTATAGTCAGACAGCATCATGGAGGGGCTTTTTACAGAGACAGTCCTTTTTGTTAAAGAGTAAGCTCTGAACTTGCCATCAACAAACCGACCAGACTCCATTTAAATAAACAGTAATTTAAGAGTGTATAGAGCCAGCATATTTACACATCTAAAGCGAGATTTGTACTTCTGCATCGAAACAACACCATACCTATGGCTTAGCCGGATGTGCACCTCCCCAGATATGTAACTACATGTTGTGGTGACGCAGACGTCCTGTCTATTTTTGTAAGCTGAAACCATTTCCCTCAGTGGAAACAAAGCTTTATTTACTTTAATTTCACAGATAAGAAACAATAAATTGTGAAGACAATAAGGCCTCCACAAAAATAGCATTTTAAGTCTTGTGTGTGATTTATCCTGGCTTCATATGAGCAGAGGAAATCTCCACTAGTTGCTAGGCTAATTTATACAATGTAAAATGCCATAGGCTTGTGCTAAAAACGTTAGCATGTTATATTTGTTTGGAAAACGCCTTTAGTATAAGACGGCTGTGTAGTCGGTGAACCTTGTGAGTTTTAATGGAGCCGAATTTTGTAACGTTACCTTTGTTAAATGTTGCTGTTGTCCCTTGTTTCATATGAGAATAAGAAATGTCCACTAGCCACTCAGCAAATTTATACAATGTAAAATGCCATAGGCTTCTGCTGCTAACGTTATCATGTTGTATTTGTTTGGAAAACGTGTTTAGTATAAGACAGTTGTTTTGTCGGTGAACCTTGTGAGCTGTAATGGAGCTGAATTTTGTAACGTTACCAGAGATATTGGATGAAGGGAGATACCCAACTGTAGGCTTATCCAATGTTAAGAAAACGGTAACTCTTCCTGTCTCCTAAGTGGGCGTGATTAGCGCTCCCTCCAATCAGAGCCTGTTCTCCCTCAACCCCCCTCCCCACCACCGTGTTGAACAGAGGCTCTGTGGATGTCTGTGTATACGGATTGAGAAGCAGGTGGAATGAAAATACATTCTTCCTATTATTGCAGCCTATTGCTGCACAAAGCTTGGGCATTTTTTATTTATTACTAGCGGTAAATAACTGTTTGTAAACTAACTGTGATTTTACCGCCTGTTTATCAAGATCACGAGATCTCGCGAGAACTTGTTTTCTGAGACGGACAGTGCTCAAAGTTAACTTTCTCTTGATCTGTGCGGATGAAAAATGCAGCTTTAGTGTCAGAATGTTGGTAAGATGTGTGGCTTGTGGAAAATGAACCCAATATTTACTTTAGTGACTACTGGGCGAAAGAATTGACCATAAATTGTGATCACGTTCATTTTCCTCATTGACGACAATACATTCAGAGCTGCCGCAGGTCTCCTACGGGGGCGTGGCGCTGACGTCACTGAATCAGGAAGTGAGCTGAGTTGGGTATCTCGCTTCATCCAGTATCTCTGACGTTACCTGTGTTAAATGTTGCTGTTGTCCCTGGCTTTATATGAGTAGAGGCCTCTAGGCTAATTTATACAATGTAAAATGCCATAGGCTTGTGCTAAAAACATTAGCATGTTGTATTTGAGGGAAAAGTGTCAAGCAAAAGAAAAAATGCTTTGTCTGTGAATGCTGCGAGTTATAGTGAAGCTGATTTGTGTACTTGTGTTTGAAATTGTAAGCCATGTTTAATGTGTGTTTTGAATCAACTAAACTTTACAGCACTTCACAGAAACCCCGCCGCCAACTAGTGTTTTGGAGGTGTAACTGCAGAGTGACACAGACACACCACTGTACAAGTATAAATGCTCACACGTGCGTAGGCTACAACATAGGCTTTACATAGAGTTGACGCACAAGTATAAATCCTGCTTAACTGGGTGAATTAAAAGTTTAGTTTGGACCAAACTAGAGTTGTTGATTGTTGGACCAGTGGAAAGAGGAAGCAAGACAGCTTTTGTGAGTTTTATTTTGTTTCAAACGTACTGATAAAATCAGTCTTAAGTGGAGTCTGATGGGTTTCACAATTACAATTTCCAGGTTGTTTCTGGTTAAACAAAAACAGTCTTACTCTTTAACAAAAAGGTCCTTTCCATAGTCTTGTTAGACACTTAGAATATAAATCTTTTTTATATTCTAATCTCTTTTAGTGGACATAAAGAGATGGTGCAAACATGTCCTAAGTGATTACATTGCAGCCTGTTTCATGGTTGCTGGCTGCAGCGCTCTCACCCAATACTGGACCAATTTCAAATACGTTTGGTACTATTAGTCACTTAGACACAAAAACATGGGACAATAGGGTCCAAGTTGAAAAATGATGATAAACTTACCTTGTAAAGCTTCAAACACCATTACATATGCATTACTTACACAGTAATTAATCAAAACTTATCTCAACATCTAATCCAAAATCTAAAAGGCTCATTGTTTGTTGTGTCTGCTTGTTCAGTGCACTTTATCCCCTGTTTGAGGCTTTGCTTCCTTTGACTCCTTTTATCCCTGTTATGTTATGTTCCGTTATCTTTAACCCTGATGACTCAGTCTGGCTTGAGCTGCGAGCAAATGAATGTTAAGTCAGTTGTTAATTTGGTGTTATTTTACCTTGATGGAGGCAATGGCTGATCCTGCAAACTTTGCTTGGCTGAACTAATCATTACCATTGCTCTGGTTGCATCCTGATATTAAGATTATGTATACTCTGTGAAAGACTGCTGTGTTTGAGTCCCATTTTTAAAGTATTTCACTGTCTCTCCTGTGTGATCAGGACAGTCTGTTACAGTTCATTAATGTTTTGTGTTGTGTGGCGGACTAATGTGGTTTAAAACAGCTTCAGTTGTCTTACCTGTTGCTGTGGATCCATGCGGAGAGGACGGCTAGTTTGCTTGGCTTTGTCTGGTCAGGTGTCCCCCGGGTGCTTCTGTGTTCCCTGATCTTTTTCCTTAACACTTGCGGTGTTTCATCTCCTACCAGGATAAAATCCCGAGGGACTCTGCTCTCATACACCGGCGGAATAGTTACACTCCCTTGTCCAGTCACGACCAGGTCAAGCGTCCCAGGCTCTACAGTGCGGGCAACCAGCCCTGGCTCCCGCTCGCTCCCACCCCTTCAGCTCTGATGCCAGAGGGACGGCAAAGCCAAGTTAGTGCCAGAGTTACAGGCTCCCCCACTAAATCAGTCACCGTCAACTATAATCAGTCACCCCCACCACCACCACAGTTGTAACCCTGTGTTTGGCATTCCCTCGCCTCAGTGCTGGATCCTCTCGGTGATTTAGTGTCTGTGTTGAAAATGAACACATGGAGTCCATCTCTCTATCTCTCTCTGTCTCTCTCAGGGCATGTTTTGGGTCTTGAATGGATTGCTCTTGTTATGTTGCGTCTGTCTGTTTCCGAAGTTTGCATGACCTCTGCTTCACCACGGGGCTGTCTCCAGCTTGAATATGCAGAACAGCATGTCTACCTTTTCAAGTTAGAATTTATGGGACACGAAAGACACACAAACATCAAAGAAGTCTTGTACTGAATTTAGTAATAAGGCCTGTCATAATAATTACATTATCAACTTATGGAGGTCGGCAAAAACGGTCATGCCCATTTATCGTACAATATTGCTGTTGGGTTTATATGTTTGTTTGTTTACATAAAAAAAGAGCACAAACATTTTAGCCAACATGATGCCAGAATAAACAGCAGGGTTTCCCGATTATTATAAGACTGAAGTGCAGCTCCTCAGAGATTTTTCCCAGCACGAGATGATTGAACAGAAAAAAAACTATGTTGAGACACATCATTTCTGTCAGTTTCATAAAATGGTCTTTTAGAGCTGGGACACATGCCGTGTCTTTTACCGCCGTGAAATCCAACACACTCTCACTCCCAACTTGTCAAATACAGACTCTTGGTCAGTGGCCTGTTACGTCAAAACATGACATGACATTGCATGATTTATAATACACTCCTGGTTCAGTTTTGGATGTCAATTTACTCTTGGTCATCGAAAGGGTACCTAGCACATGTGACAGGCCATGCTCGTTAAATGCATCGTCTCTTTTCAAAATAAACTTCCTTTTTCACAGGAAATGTACAGTTTCTGCTCATTAAATCCACAGTCTTTTTAAAAATAAACCTAGAATGTAGGTACAAAACTTTTAGGTTTACTTCCTTCTGTTTTAGGCAATAAAATAACGTGGTTTGGTTTAGGAAAAAACATCAAGTTTGGCTTGGAATAAATACATTTGGTTACAACATAACGTCACATGATAAATGTCACTACCGTAGTATGCTTCAGATACTACCATACTATGTCATTATTAAAATAATTTGATTGACTTTTGGTTCCACACGGGACACAAACAGCAGGCCTCCATGTGAAAGTCCTGGGTTTACCCTCCCTATGTGGACTTTCTCGCTCTTTCTACTTTGTTAGCTGCCCAAAACGTCAAAAATGCCATCACTCGGTGTGTCTCATACCACCGCTTGAGGGTCTGTCTGTGTGTCAGTGTCTGATGCTGATGGGCCTCTGACCAATCGTAGGTATTTTTGACAAGTTAGGAGTGAGACCAAGTTGGGAAAACATGAGGTCAGGCGCTAAACGCTACTCTTGTGCTAACTTTTAAGGGTGTGAAGGTGGGTTGTGCCTGATGCTGTTGAGCAACCCTAAATAGCAACATACTATAGCCTACTCATCAGAAATCCTGAGTTTGGAGCTGATCTTTTTTCAGGAGTTTTTTAAAGTTTTCATTTATATATTGTCTGTGGGACAGATGTAAAGCTCTGCGTAGGGTTGCAATGGTATGAGATGTTCACGTTACGATAACCGTCTCAGAAAATATTGCAGTTTCACGGTATTATGGTATTATGGAATTACTATTGTTATCAGTCAGAAAAAACAGAAGGGTTATTTTTGTTTAAACAAACGTTTTATTACTGTATTTGAAACTTGAAACTTTAATGGAAATGTGTGTAAAAAGTCTCCCTTTTGAAAATAACTAAAATAAAGTACAGATATTCTGTCCTGCTACATTTAAAAAATATATATATATATATATATCGTAGATAACAAATGCACACAGTATGATAACCATCAATTTTAATATCACGGTATACCTTGAAAGCGGTATATATCGTGGCCACCCTAGCTCCGAGTTGCCCTGCACTGAAATGATCAGCTTCTCCTCAATATTTATCACAGACTGATGTTCATGGAAGAAAGGAAATACATCTGCTGGCTGTTTGTGGTTGTTATTTGTCACACGACATGCGATGCGTGTTGCTGCATTTCAAAAGTACAACTTTGTAAACCTCAGGGTACAGCCATTGCACCCTGAAAAACAGGCGCTTTTGAATGCGTCTTCAACATGTTTACATTTAAAACAAAATATTTGAGGCCGCAAAAAATGCAGCATGTGTGGGCCCTTAAAATTTCAATAATATTGTTTATCACAATTATTTCTGGGACAATATATCGTCCAACAAAAGTAGTTGTAGGAGCTAAGCCTATTACCTGCAGCTACATGACTGTTTCACCCGGCCTGACCTGGCTGACGGTTGATGCCACAGCTTCCTTGGTTGTGTTGAGTTCAGACAATAAACTGGAGGTTCCAGTTGCAGAACAATCATCGTATTTATTCATACCACCAAAACACAGGTTGAATAAATGTCCATTTCTTTATCTTTTATCCAAGCCAAACACACAGCTTTCAGCATGTTCCACACTGTCCCGCACCACACACTATATACACTACTGCTCAACATATCAATACAGCGCCACCTTGTGTACATTATAGTAAATACAATTAATGTCTGCTGAGTGGAATGACATATTTGACTCTTACAGTAGTTATTGTGACAGGCCTGGTTACAAGTGATAATGTACACAATATTAAGTATATACTATAACCTTCATAAATCTACATTGATGATTCCATTAAATAAAAAACTCGAAAATTTGAGAGAATTCAACACAATACACAAATGACAGATTCTGTTAAAATTTAAAAATGCATATTCATATTTGTATGTGTTGTGTATTTGTTGGCCGTGCCCTGTTGGTAAAGTGCTTCAGTCCCTTCTCCACATTTCTATCTCTCTGTCTCCTCTGTCTCTCTCCACTTCCTGTACACCTGTCTTACAGCCTCGGATAGGAAACGGCTGTCTGTGAGTATTCTGGAGACTTCGTACATGTAGCAGAGCCCTTCATTTTCTTTCCCACAATTCAACTCATGTCATTGTAACCCATGTGAATATGTTGTCACAGTGTTGTGTTTTTACGGTGCTCAGTCTTTGGGTTTCTCTAACCTTCCATCACCTTTGCACTTCAAACTCTCTGATGATAGTATTTGTTAGACATCTAGATATTTTTCAAAATGGGAAAATAATGTAGAACATATAAAGGTATTTGAGTTCCATAAACATAAAGTGTATCTGATTCAGATAGACATCAGTCACAAGCATTTGGGCTAAAGCACAGTCTCCACCAATGTGGCTGTTTCACATAATGACCCAATTTTTCAAATAGGACCTACTGAGCCTCCTGAGAAGCTGTTAGCTGCCTCGATTAGACTCTGCTGCTGTGAGGTGTTAATTTGTGACTGTCACTAACATTTTCTTTTTCTTGAAGGAATCCCTATGCGAAGGAGGCGACTATGACAGCCCCGAAGAATCTAGTGACTGTGTCCGCTTCTGAGTGACGATGAAAGCATCTTTCTTCACGGCACAATGTGGGCGAAAGCTCCGGGTTCACACATGAATCAAATCATTTTTTTAAACCTTATCCTTGGAGACGATGGTCAGACTATAAGGTCTTTTTTTTTTTGTTCCTATCTATCTCAACATCTGTGTTAAACCGTACTCTGCATGTTGAGGCTATAAACTTGAAGCCTTATCATTAGTATCATAAACACTCTCTGCATGTGAGACAAATCAATCAATGAACCAAAATAAAAACAGGCAACTAACACTTGTTGTAAATATGACAATGCCTTACTGAACTCTAAGTATACTGATAGTATTAGCTCCTCTGTATGAATGTAACAAAAACAAGTTATGCATCATGATGAAAACCAGATTTCTGTTATGAAGTAGATGCTGTAAAATATTTTTATAATATAAATACTCTCATCTGCCATGCAAACAATCTGTGTTCCTCTGAAATGTATTCTTAGCATCCTCTGTTACGTGTTATATTGATTTGGTTTAGATTTAAGGGAAAATACTATATTGACTTTCTTTCTTCAGTTCTGGAAGCCGTGTATGTTTTACGTGTTGTTAGATAAAAACACCACATTGCTGGACAAACTGTAAACCAGCAGCAGAGAGGGAAACTTCCATTAACATATCTGATGTATTAAACTGGTGTACTAAATGTTAATCCCTTCTTCTTCTTGCCTGTATATTCTATTAAGGGATTTTGTGCAACAACGGCATCACAAGTTAGTGGAATGTTCGCTATTTATTGACCTTTGTGTTCCTCTTATCATTTATTTTAATGGCTTTATGCAAATGTATCTTTCCTCCTTAAATTCTCTTCACGTCATCCATTTTTGAAACACAAAATCCTCTTATTTTACTTTATAACAGACGGCGGCACAAGTTTCATTCTGACTGTAATATTTGACTGTAGATAAGTTTTTGCTCAAAGCAGCCTATTGGTGCCTTTTAAGCAGGGGATTTTGAAGTGACATTTTTTTTCCCCTGTAGGGGAATGTTGGAGAATCTTTGCAGCACATGATATGTTCCAGATGAAATGATCCAGATCTGTTAGATGTTGTTTTATCATTCTTGGCCTTCATTTAAGTGATTTTTGTTCGATGCAAAATCGTCTCAAAATTCTTTAAGATCTTGGATTGTCTATACTGTAATATTATTATGTTGGTCTCTTCTATACACATGATATCTACGTAATGCACGCCTGTCTGTCCTGTGCGAGGGATTCCTCCTCAGTTAGCCTGTCTGAGGTTCCCTCAATATTTTTTCACCCATTAAAGGGTTTTACCTTAACTGCTCTGAGGGTGCAGGGACAGAGGGTGTTGTATGTTGTAAAGCCCACTGAGGCAAAGTTTGATTTGTGGTATTTGGATATATCCTCCTGAGACCTGAACTTTTGTTTGGTCTGCATTTTTTATTCCTCCTAACTATTTTGGATCAGAAGGACCTGACAAGTATAAAAACTAAACATTGTTACTGATAATAAAGTTCAGATGTCCTTCAACAAGCTGATGATAAATTCCCAGTGTCCTCAAATAAGTACTTGCTAATTAATAGCGCCTTGGCTTGTCACTGAAAATTGGTCAAATTTGTTGCCATATCCAACTACAAACATTATTAATCTTAAATTAACAAGATTCAACCATAAAATGTGATCAGGTTTTGAACCTTGTCCACTTTTGTGTCGGGATCGACTGCAGACTGACTTGGCCAATGTTAGACGTGAGCTACAATCAGGAGCATTAGAATTAATGATTAGGGGACAGATCAGTTTGAGATGGGTGGTCTTGGTGTCTCCTTTACACCTCACCATAACTGGAGTGGAAAACTTAACACAAAATTATTCAGTCAACTGTACACAGAAAGAAGTGTAATTGGGCTGTTTGTGTTAAAGAACTGGAAGCTAATGTGTAGCTATTTGGCTCCTTAACCAAATAAATGTGTTTTATTCCCTTGACACGTGTTCCTTGGATTTATTGTCCATATCCAACAGAAATTGTTGTCCACTACAACACTTGAAATTTAAACCTTTCTGATTTTAACCAAGGCAACTATGAATAGATATAAATCATCTAAAAAAGTTTAAGGAGGGAATACTTAGTGAGCACAGAGAAAACCACAAGCACAGCAGAGTGGGTAGGCTACTTAACGTCGTCATATATCGGTATCCACAAACTCTGTTATCACAGCTATTATTACAAACATATCTGAGTGAGCTGCGACCCCTCAACTCTCACATGGACTCATCTCTTGTGTTGAGCCGTGACATTTAGCCCACAAGTATTACGAGAATTAGTGTTCGTCAAAGGCAGTTAAAGTCATAAATAGACTATTTATCTTGACCCTCCCTGAAGCTACAAATATTTTTCCTTGAGCCTTCCTGAATGACTGAGGGAAACTGCATGACGCTCCCTCCACCAAAAATAACCCTTTTTTTAATATTCACTCTACAAGTAGGTTTTGGAGCCAGAACAAGAAGAAAATGACACGGGAGTTAAAGTTACCATCAAAACAAACAGCTTATTTCTTAAGCAAAATGTGAATCCTTCTCACACTAATAAGAATACTGTGTTTGATCCACTTAAACAAATTAAGGCAACGTTTTGCATCTGATTATTATGTAGATCAAGCAAGACTTGTGCTTGTATAAATTACAGAATTTTTTTGTACATAACAAATAATTTTTCCAAGTAAAGTAGGTCAGCTTAACACAATTAAGTCGACTTCACTTTCAAAATGTGTTTTTTACATACAAAAATATTAAGTTGTTCATACAAATACTAGCCTTTCTTGATCTACATAATTATCTGATGTAAAAAGTTGCCTTAATTTTCTGAAAGTAGATCAAACACAATATATAGATTATTTTTATTGTGCTTACGATAGCATTATCACACAAACGGTGTGTACTTCAGCTAATTTAGGTATATGACAGCTACACATCCTACCACACAAACCAACAAAATTTATTAATTTATTATTATTATATTGCAAACACATACAACTTTATGTTTGAAAGTTAAAAGTTTTAAGATGAAAATTAAATCCTGGAGTTGAAAAAAAAGTCGTGGTTTATCCACTGTTGTCATGCAGGAGCGCAGAAATTAATGTTTATTTACAGGATCTGGTGCAAACTGTTTATTAAACGGGTGAAATTTCACTTTTTCAAGCTTAGATTTGGTTATGTCTCCTGACAGGAGTGTTTATCACTCAAGATGTGTTCAAGGAACGTCGCAATTTTGATAATTCAATTCAATTCAATTCAAAACACTTTATTTGTCCCCAAGGGGCAATTAAAAGGCACATAGAGTAGCACAACAACACCTACAGACAATTTGACAAGACAACATAGACAATAAAAAGGATGCTACATGATATGTATTAAAGTGCTGGAAGTGCTTAAGTCCATGAAAAATACTATAAGTTAATGTAATATATAATATATAATGATAATGATAATTTTCGTTTTTACAGTTTCTGACTGTGATAGATGGTGTTATTTTGGTTATTATCAAAGAAAACATGCCTTTCAAGCCTGCGGGTGGGTTTTGGGGTTCAGATGGTATTTAAAATAAACACAAAATACAACCATTTCAAGTATGTCCCTCCTCAAAGCCAAACTAAAAAACAATTCAGAGAGACCAATTCATGGAGTTTCAAATCTTAAAACGATTAGACAATTATTTGACATGCCTCCCCTATTTTGCACCAGCCACGCTCCCTTATAAGTAAGTAACAGTCCCTTAGGTTGTTGTTTTTTTGTTTGTTTTTTAACTACAGTCCTTATCTAAACATATGAAGTCAGCATAATGACTTAGTGCCGAAAAAAGATTTGTTTCAAGGCTAGATGTTTAGTTATTAGCGTAGATGCAATAAATGCCAGTGGGATTTTGAACGACATTTTCCTACTTCTGGAGCAGAACCCGACAGTTCCAGTGTCACTTCGGCTCTATTCGGACATTTACGGTAGAAACCGCTGTTCTATCAGAGAGCGTCATGACGTCACGTGAACGTAGGCAGACGTTCCCCACATCAGTCGTCTCACTGGATGTTTATTGTCTGAGGCAGGGCTGCAGTCAACACCAGGTAAGAAAATAAAATGACTTAGCTCGTCGTCATGTCACTTCATAAACCTTGTCGTGTGTGTATATGTGAAAGGGAAGGTAACGTTAACAGATTTTGGTCAAGTTTACCCGGATGCAAAGTGGTTGGAAAAACGGTCCACTTAACGCCAAGTTAAAGGGACGGTTAGCATGCTAACGTTAGCATATGATACATGATAACGTTACGTTTCTCTGCACGTCCGAGTAAGTGTGTTTCTTTAATACGTTTTCAGAATAAATGTCACTAACGTGTTAGCTATTCGTGAAGTCATATGACCGGTAGCTTCTCACAATCTTCCCTGTGTCTCGCTCAGCAGGGAGCTGCTAGCTTAGCTCACTGTGTGTTTGTCCCGCTGTTGAGTCAACTGTCGTTAACGTTAACTGACAGAACAAAGAAAATAAAACAAAGCGATGTCGCTGTCATGTGTTTCTCTACACTGCTGCTGCTCATCAGCACTTTGATTGTTAGGCCGGGTCCATTTCGAAAGCAGTATTATCACACACCGACCAGCATAATGTAGGGTGTCCGACGTCCTGAATATTGCTGTGTTGTATAAGTTAGGCTAACAAACACAACTAGCAAGCTAATACTACTAGCTTATGGCTACACGATAAAGCAGCTAAGTTCTGAGCTAACATGACTGACGTTAAATAACCACCCCAAAACATGTGAGGAAAGTAAATTTTATCACCATTTCCAGAGCATTTGGGGTTACAAGCATAGTTTCTGTAGGGTTAAAACAATGTATAAAATATTCAAGGGCGTTAAACTACCTACAGTGATGTACTGGTTGAGTTACAGATAAGAGGGGGTTGACTTTTTACGATTATGAGTCACTTTTTGCTTAATTTTACATTCAGTGGCATGCAAAAGATTGGGCACCACAGTTCAATATTTAGAGATGACCTGGCTTCCAAAAAGTTTAAAGTGAGATATGACAAATTTCTTAAATAGTTTAAGCATGATTACTTTTTTATTTCAGTCTTAAACAGTTTAAAAAATGGATAAGGACCTGAAGCAAAAGTTTGGGCACAGTGCATGGTCAGCACTTAATAGCTTCTAAATCAGGGGTATCAAACATATGGCCCACGGGCCAGAACCCGGCCCACCAAAGGGTCCAAATCAGCCTGCTAGATGACTAGACTAAGGCAGAGTTTATACTTCTATGTTGAATTGACACAGTACCCTATGCTGTAGCTTGACGTGTACCCTCCCAGAAATGTAACAGCGCGTCACAGCGACACAGACTCCTGTCTGTTTTTGTAAGCCTAAAGGAAATGGCCACTTAAGAAAGAAAATACAGACAGTTCTTACTGACCCTCATGCTGACAAGAAGTCCAGTGTAGTTTTTTAATCTACTCGTTCAAGGTATCGGAGGACAACTGCCAGCCGGATTTTTCCATACACTTGAAGTGCACGGAACCCACATTTTGAAAATGTAATAAAAGTATGCTAATGCATTTCAAAAATGCCAGAATGGCTCGTCCGTCGTAATCCAAGTGCCCTGAAGCCGCGGCATGCAAAATTGACTTGAAAAGACGTATTTTACTCCACTTTTATAGCATAATTTCTCACCATGGTCAGTTAGCCCGCCCTGCAAGCATTCTGTGTTTACATGACAACTCGCGCGAGACTAGCTGATGGCTACTGGTGGTGCTAGTTCTCGAGTCTCGTGTGAGTTGCCATGTAAATGTGGCTAACTGACCACAGTGAGAAAGTATGCTATAAAAGTGGAGTAAATTATGTCTTTTCAAGTCAATTTTGCATGCCACGGCTTCGGGGCACTTGGATTACGACAGACAAGCCATTCTGACGTTTTTGAAATGCATTAGCGGAGTTTAATTACATTTTCAAAATGTGGGTTCCGTGCACTTCAAGTGTAGCTGTTATTCCGGCTAGCTGTTATCCTCTGATACCCCGAACAAGTTTTGTGGATTAAAAACTACACTGGACTTCTTGTTGGCATGAGGGTCATTCTAAAGTGGTCATTTCCTTTAAAACCATTTCCCTCAGTGGAAACAAAGCTTTTTCACAGATAGGAAACAATACATTTAAACTTGAAGGAACACTTCACCCACAAAATGATCATTTGAATGTTAGTTACCAAATTCATGTCACCTTGAATTTGTGAAGAAAACATTGTTTTTCTCAAATGCTTCCACGGTGAACAAAGAATCCAAAAAAGGCAAACATTCTTCAGGAATTCAAGTACTCAGGATCCACATTTAACAAAAACTGTACCAAATCACCCTTCCACAATCCCTCACACAACTTATGTAGTACAATCCAGGTCTTATTTATCCATTCATATGACTAAGCACTTTGTATTTTTTGCTAAAGCTTTTCAGTATGAAAGAATTTAGCCTATGGGTAATGAGCCCTGAGCCTGCCTGGGCACACTCATTAAATTGTAACATTTTAGTGAAAATGCATGTGTTTAGGTAGTACTTAGCATATAAATGAGACTTGGATTGTATTGCATGAGTTGTTTGAGAGTTTTAAACAAATGTTTTGATATAATTTTGCTGTTGTTAAATTTGGGCTTCTTTTACTGAAGTTCAGCGGATTCTTCATACACCATGGAGGCATGTGAGAAGAACCAAGTTTCTTCAAAATGTCAAGGTAACATGGTGAAAAACTCATATTATTGATATACAAATGGTCATTTTGTGGGTGAAGTATTCTTTTAATAAGGAACAGACATAGACATTATGGTACATATTTACTATCAATCAGAGAGAGATTCTGCCTGGATATTAAAAAGATTTGATTTATTCTAGTGAGGCCTTTATAGTCATCAGCAAAAACAAAACCCTGATTACAAAGTTGATTTAATATTCTTTATTAATCAAGATGTTCACAAAGTGTCCTCTTGATAGCATTAACAACGTCTTGACAACAAATGTTCTGGAGGACGAGCAAATTTCAAACCGAGTACTTGCAGTGTCACTGATGTGTGATGTCACATGTTTTTGTACGTAGGATGTTGCGGCTTCGCTGTAAGACCAAAAATGGGAGCCACATAATGCAGGGATTGACTCATCAGTCCTGCGTGCAAGAGCTAAAGACGAAGGTGGAGGAGCTGACTGGTATCCCCTGTGACGTGCAGAAAATCATGGTCGGCTATCCACCCTCCAGCCTTGATCTTCGAAACGGAGATGCTCACCTTAAGGACTATCCCATCAAATCAGGTATGTTGTCAAACATCCACAATATGCAGATAAATTCACACCATTATTGTTTGTATCAGCATTTTATTGTTTATTTGCATGTTTTTATGACATTACATTAGTGTGATGACTGGGTAAGTTTTTAGAAGAAATAATCATTGTGAAAACTTTGGACAGTGTTCTGTGAATTATGACAAAAAAGTTGATGTGGAATATTTTGAACTAAAATTCTTCAAGGTATACTATGCAGGAATTGTCCGTTACTGTTCGTAAACATTCAAACTTGGCCCCTTCTCTCTACACTGCTTGTTCGTACACTGCAAGTCACTATTACAGGAATGTTACATTTGTTGTGATGGCAAAGCTGATACCTTAGCAACCTAAAGGTCCTGACACCAAGCTGATGTTGGGCTGTTGGTGAGTGTCCGTCACTCCCATTTTTGTGGTGTGTCCTGCACTCTTGGCCCTCATTTGCTTTTTTCTGATGTTCTTTTTAAGCCGATTCAACACACAAAATTAACGTCAGATTGGTGGAGCCCATCAGTGAACGAAATCACTCTGATTAGCAGTAAAGCACAGTGCACAAGAAGAGAAATGGAAGTGAGGAAAGTAAACAAACAGCTAAAGTCTAAAGCGCGTAAGTTTGAAAAAAGCTTGTTTTATTAGGTAAGATAAATTTTCTTTGAGTGCTTTTGGAGAAACAGTTAATTTTTGTTGTTCACTGGCACATAGTAAATATCCTTTGTTCTTTCAACATTAGATTATGTTGTTTATATGCTAATTGGCCAACTAGCTTCCCCTTTTAAATGACGTATACAGGCGACTGCAGTCTGCTGGTGTGGAGAGTTATTTCTTCTCATGCTTGTGCAGAACGTACGTGCTGGTTGGCCATTAGTTGTAGTCATTGCAGTGTGTTAATGTGCAACTTTTTGGCCGAGACACAGGCGACGTAACAGTTGTTTTTTGTCACCACAGTTCTTTGATGTTGGTTTGGTGTGTCTGGGCCTTAAGGCTGCATTCACGCCAAATCAAGCGTTGCTGCAAAAATGCAAGTCCTCCTAGTAATTTGAATGCGAGTAGTGCATCTAGGCTGCGGCAGTGGGAGGCCGCAGGGATGCTGAAAAATAAAAACACTGTGACGAAGTTGAAACAGAATCAATTTTTGGACAAATCCAACCCAATATCAGGCTGCAGTGGCCAGTCAAGTCGTGTTAGGTTTCTCCAAAAGTTGATTTTGTTACAATTTATCACCACAGGCCACTGCATATTTTTTTTCCTCATCAATCCCTGTGGCCCTCACTGCCGCAGTGATCAGACTGAAAGACATCCGCAGTCCATAGGAACAAGTAAGACAGTCTTCTTTCATGGTTAAATGTTACAGTGAGACAAACTTACTGAAGACGAATACTCAGTCGCTGAGATGAAGAGATTTGGCTTTCAGTAGCTGGAACAAGCTTTGTCCACTTGGCGTTTTGCCTCTCTTAGTTTGTGTGTTTTTTCAGCACTGTGTCCGCAGTTTTAAATAGCTTTCTCTTGAATACGTGCTCCTACTATCTGGTTGCTTAGTCTTTTTTTTAAGTCCCTCCTGACCTCAACTGTGTGCTGTTATTGGCTGGGGAGTGAACACCCAGAAACATCCTAAACACAGCAAAATAAGAAGAAAACAAAGGCGGAGGGAGAGTCTCTGCAGATAAATACACTGCCTCACACTTCTAATGGGTCACAAGTGATGATTGAGAGAGATTATTTGTGTACGAGTCAATACATTGTTTTCAGCAAAATCCTGCATAGTATACCTTAAATGCTTTATACCTTAAATTAACGTCTTCTTACCAAAGTGTGACCAGGCTGAACTGTGTTGTGTCCTCCTCTGTAGGAGACACACTCATTGTTGAGGAAGAAAAGAACAAGCCAAAGCCTCCTCAGGATCATCCCACTGTGACTAAAGCACCACGCCTGGAAGCCTCACCCATGCTGGCACGCCGAGTGGTCCCGGCTGACAACTCCTGCCTCTTCACCAGTGTGTATTATGTGGTGGAAGGTGGTGTATACGACCCTGCGTGTGCCCCTGAGATGCGAGGCCTCATCGCCCAGATTGTTTCCAGTGACCCTGCAGCTTACTCTGAAGCGGTGCTGGGAAAGACCAATGAGGAGTACTGCACTTGGATAAGACGTGACGACACCTGGGGGGGAGCCATCGAGGTGTCCATCCTCTCCAAGTTTTACCAGTGTGAGATCTGTGTGGTGGACACTCAGACAGTCCGAGTGGATCGATTCGGGGAGGACGCTGGCTACCATAAACGCGTGCTGCTCATCTACGATGGCATCCACTACGACCCGCTGCAGAAAGAAACGCCCGGCTCCGACACTCCGCCCCAGACTATCTTCTCCACCACAGATGACGTAATCCTGGCTCAGGCCCTGGAGCTGGCAGACGAGGCTCGCCGCAAGCGTCAGTTCACGGACGTTAACCGCTTTGCGTTGCGCTGCATGGTGTGCCAGACAGGCCTGGTGGGACAAAAGGAAGCTCGGGAGCACGCCAAGGAGACAGGCCACACCAATTTTGGCGAAGTGTGAATACTGTTTTGTCTTTTCTTCCTCTCATAAATACAACCACCACCAACCCTGTGCCCCACGTCTGGCAACTCCGTTGGTCTGTCTGTCAATCTGCTTGTGTGATCCTCTACCTCACATTGTCCAGCGACATCTATGGAGAATCTGCAGACACTGTGTTAAGCCTCTAATCTGTTCAGTATTACTTTTAACTGCTGTCAGTTCTCATAGTCAGAAACGCTACTGCAGTGCTCCGATGTCTTTAAAACCATCATTTTAGTCTGTTAGGGATGGTTTCAAACTGTTCAAATGGGTCAAGGAAAATATGCAAACTATTCTTAGGATTTGTTTTAAACTCTTTTGTTACTCAACAGCTCAGTTTTATTGAAAAACAGAAAGCAGCTGATGTGTTTCAGTTGATGCGCCAAATTGGTAGTACTTACCTGTGACTGACTAAACGTGTATGTGATAAAACCCTGCTGTATGGTTCTAGAAAGAGTTTAAAACAACCACTAAGAATTATTTGCACTATGATGTGATCTTATTCACTGTTGTCTTAAGCGCAGCACACAAAGTATGACTGTTATTCATCATGTTGATTATGTTGTTTATTATGGGTTTTTCTCATTGCAGATGTATGTCAGAAACTTTTCCAATACTAAAACTTAAGATTTAGCTAACTTTAGATGTCTGAATCATTCAGCACAGTTGGATTTTGTTGAAGTCCCCCCCCCTCCCAACACATTTTAAAGTATGTAAAAAAAAAAAAAAAATACTCAGCTATGGTTAATTTTTTTTGTTTAAAAAGATTTTCCCCGCATGGAATGTTTAAAAAACTCTGAAAAGGAGCTGGAAGCAGATCTACTCTTTCTTCCTCAATGAAATTATGAGACTGGCCCCTGCCCCACTTAACTTTAGCCGCTTGCGCTAGGTTAACCGGTAAAAGAACAGCGCGCATCAAAAAGCTAGCATTAGCGTTAAAGGAAACATCGGAGAAATTCAGCCATACATGTTTGAATCTCAGTTAGACCCAGACTCAGATGAGCGACGTATCAAAATGGTTAGTGTAGCATCATTTTTTTTGTTTCTGTTGTTCGTTAGCTTGTAGGCTAACTGACAATGGCTGACACGGTGTTAAGTGCAACACACACCGCCGCTGGCGTGGCGCTGTGGCCGTCAAGGGCCGCCCCCCAACACACACTGGCAGCGGCGCGCAGCGGCGCCGTCAACATGTATTTCCCACCCCAGCCCTCTAGGTGGCTGTACCTACACTAGTTGCCAACGGTTGCCAACTGCTAGTAACAGAAGAAGAAGAGGAAAAACTTTGAGGTCACAACAACTTGAATTTCACAGGTGAGTTTCTTATCAAAGTCGTCTTATTTAAAAATTTGAAACAACCGGAGTTGATCCTACGAGACGAGACGTACATAAAAAAAGGCTTTTCTCGCAGCGCCGGCCATGCTGGAAATAGAGCAGTGGGCTGCGACGGCCGGCACCAGTGTGGGTTGGTTCATAGAATATAATGGAGGCGGGCGTTTTGACGCGTGGCGTACGGTGGCGGTGTGTGTTGCACTTTAATGGTTGTGAAACAAGACAATAATATCTGCCATGATGGTGTTTTTGGAAGATAATGGAATGAATGGAATGTTTGCTGTCAAATGTTCACTATGCTAATGCTAAATGTCGCTCTCTGACAAGTCCGCTACATGCTGGAGGTTTTAGATTTCTTTGCCAGTTATGTGTTGAAGTCTTCCCCCGTTTACTGATTAGGTTTGTCACAAATTAATGTTTGAATCTCAGATTGTTGTCAGTAGAGGCATGTAAAAACACCTTTTAGTGACAAACTTTGTACAGCTACAAGTCAGAGTAGTCAAGTCATTTTAGGGGACATAAACATAAACAGTAGAAACACATTTCTGAATGGAGGGGGGCTTATGATAATGATACGCTGGATTCATCTTTACAAAAATGTGACATTTCTTTAAAATTACTGTGTGAGTAGTGGCCATTGAGACTGAGGTTATGCATTACAGTGTTGCAAATTGTGATCAAAATTAGACTAAACACTCATGTTGGACTTTTTCCCTTTTTTTTTCCCCTGTTTTTTTTTTTGATATTGCAACATGGTTTATCAGTGATTATACTTTAGATTAGACAAAAAAAATGGTGCTGAAAACATTTCACAAAAACTGTAGCTCTTTGTTATTCTTCATCGGTACGACAGTTTTTCAGGAGTGTAATTTTTAATTCAAGTGTGTAATTTTCAAATGTTGTTATGCTGTAATCTTTTAAAAATGTTTTCTTTTTTGTTTAATATTGCTGCATATTTTGGAAAACACTTTAAGCATGATGAGGTGTTTGAGTGTGTTTTTTTTTCAGATCACCAGACACGGTGAGAGGGGAGTGTACTAACTAGAAATCTGAAACGAGTGAGTGCAAGACACGCTGTATAAGATGAATCCTGCTCACTTGCATTTACTGTTCAGGTACAGTCCACACATTATGTGTTCAGCTAATCCGCATTAAGCATTTATCTTTGCAGTTTTGATTTTTCAGCTTACATTTGCAGTCCATTTTATGTAGTGCATGTTGTCAAAACTACGCCATTCTGTTCCACTATATGTTTTGCACAACTGGAGCATGTTCTCACATTTCTGCTAATTCCTTTAATACTCACTGCCTTGAAGGATGAAGCATGCACTTGTTTATTTTAAACCACAGCTCAAAATGTTAAATTTGAGGAGGCCATAAAGATATTTGTGGGATTATGTTTTTTTCTCAAAGCCCAGATTATTGTTGCTTCGTGTTCTGCAGAACTAGTATTACTACTTCACATATCTATGATGGCGGTGTTGGTACTAAGTTGTTGCCAAAAAAAGAAAATGTTACAGTGGAGGACTTGATTGGGGCTTTCTTTTAGGTCTTTCTTGGTTCAGGCTCAGAGACGGTGTTGGGAATTAAGCTAAAAATCTCAAATTATTTCTTTGTGTTAATGTGAATTACTATTTTTTTCTTCATCTGTTACTTTTAGGTAGTTTATTTTAACAGTGATAATGGATTAGTCAGCTTGCATAAAAGTGAAACTATGAAATGGCTTTGTTGTATTTTGTATTTACCAAGTTCTCCTAATTCTTAAAGGACAATAACAATGAATGTTGCACACAAAGCACTACAGAATAACTGGATTTACTTGATTTTTTTCAGTGTTGTGTCACAATTAAAGGTTATAGCCGAAAGCTTTGTGTACGAGTCATTTTCTATCAACTATTTCTTTTTAATCACTGTTTTAACCATTTTTATGCTTCATGTTGTGTTCAGCCTATTTCCTAATACTTCTTGTAATAGTAACTGTCACCACATCACCCATTTGGTTAACTTTGGATGACATACTATACTATGACCTTTTTTTGGGAACTTTCGATGACATACTATACTATGACTTTTTTTGGTGAAAGTTGGACAACATACAATATTATGACTTTTTTGGTGACATTTGGACGATATACTATACTATGACTTTTTTGTTGAAATTTTGATGACATACTATGCTATGACCTTTTTTTGCGAAATTTGGACGACATACTATAATATCACTTTTTTGGTGAAATTTGGACGACATAGTATGCTATGTATGACTTTTTGGTGATATTTGGACGACATACTATACTATGACGTTTTTGGAGAATTTTGGACTACATACTATACTATGACCTTTTTTGTGAAATTTGGACGACATACTATAGTATCACTATTTGATCAAATTTGGACGACATACTATCCTGACTTTTTGAGGGAAATTTGGACGACATACTATCCTATGACTTTATGGTGAAATTTGGACGACATACTATACTATGACTTTTTTGGTGAAATTTGGATGACATACTATGACATTTTTGGTAAAATTTTGATGACATACAATACTATCACTTTTTTGCAGATATTTGGACGACATACTATACTCTGACTTTTTTGGTGAAATTTGGACAACATACTATACTCTGACTTTTTTGGTGAAATTTGGACAACATACTATACTATGAAATTTTTGGTGAAATTTGGACAACATACTATACTATGAAATTTTTGGTGAAATTTTGATGACAAACTATACTATGACCTTTTTTGGTGACATTTGGATGACATACTATCCTATGACTTTTTTGGTGAAATTTGGACGACATACTATACTATGACTTTTTTGGCAAAATTTCGATGACAAACTATACTATAACCTTTTTTGTGAAATTTAGACGACATATGACTTTTTTGGTGAAATTTGGACGACATACTATACTCTGACTTTTTTGTTGAAATTTGGACGACATACTATACTCTGACTTTTTTGGTGAAATTTGGACGACATACTATACTATGAAATTTTTGGTGAAATTTGGACAACATACTATACTCTGACTTTTTTGTTGAAATTTGGACGACATACAACTGTATGAAATTTCTGGTTAAATTTTTGACAACATACAATACTTTGACTTTTTGGTGGAATTTGGACGACATACTATACTATGACTTTTTTTGATGAAATTTGGACGAAATAGTATACTATGACTTTTTTAGTGACATTTTCAGGACATTCTATACTATGACTTTTTTGGTGAAATTTGGACGAGATACTACACTATGCCTGTTTTTTGGTGAAATTTCGATGTCATACTATACCATGATCTTTTTCGTGAAATTTTGAACATATACTATACCATGACTTTTTTTGGTGAACCTTTGAAGACAGACTGTACTATGACTTATTTTGATGAAATTTGGACAAAATAGTATACTATTACTTTTTTGGTGACATTTTCAGGACGTTCTATACTATGACTTTTTGGTGAACTTTTGACGACATACTACATTATGCCTTTTTTTGGATCAAACTGTTATGACATAGTATACTATGACTTTTTTGGTGAAATTTTGACGACAGGCGATACTATGAAGTTTTGGTTGAAATTTGGATGGCATATTATACTATGATGTTTTTGGTGAAATTTTGATGATGTACTATACTATGCCCTTTTGGGTCAAGTTGTATGTATGTATAGTATGACTTCTTTGGTGAAGTTTGATCCACATGCTATACTTTGAGTTTTTTGTTGAAATTTGGACGACATACAATTGTATGAAATTTTTGGTGAAACTTGAACGACAGGCTATGATGTTTTGGTTGAAATTTGGACAACGTACCATACTATGACTTTTTTGGTGAAATTTGGACGACATACTATATACTATGACTTTTTTTGATGAAATTTGGACGAAATAGTAAACTATGACTTTTTTGGTGAAATTTTGACGACATACTATAATGTGACTTTTTTGATGAAATTTGGACAAAATAGTATACTATGACTTTTTTGGTGACATTTTCAGGACATTCTACACTATGACTTTTTGGTGAAAGTTGGACGACATACTATACTATGAGTTTTTTGGTGAAATTTCGACGACATACTATACCATGACTTTTTTTTAGTGAAATTTTGACGACACACTATACTATGATTTTTTTGATGAAATTTTTATGGCATACCATATAATGACTAACTTTTTTACTTGAGTTTTTCATGGCACACTAAACTTTGCCTTTATTGGTAAAATTTCACATCATCATATGCTATACCATGACTTTTAAAGATAGTGTTTAATTAAGTTTTCATGATATTGTATACTATGCCTTTATTGGTGAAATTCTTATGACAATATCATAAAACTTTTTGGGTCAAATTAATATCATATACTGTACTATGAGTTTTTT